CATTTTGGGGGCTACAAAATCACAGCAGGTGGTGGCTGCAGCCATGAAATTAAAAGATGCTTGCTCCTTGGAAGAAAAGCTATGACCAACCTAGACAGTATATTAATGATGCCACAGCTCAGACCAATTAAACTTGGGTCCCTGGGGTTGAGGCCAAGCATCAGTGTTCCTGAAAGATCCCCAGGTAATTCCCCAGTGTAGCCAAGTTGGAGAACCAGGGCAGCCATCGGCAGCAGGTCCACACCTCACTCCCCTTTGTACGCTGGTCCTGGGATTGACACATCAAACAGCACGAGCCTTCGGTGAACCTCGCTGCGCCAACAATGACCTTTTTAATAACGTCAATCACATTGTGTTGCTCACCTTAATAAAATCCTCCCATGGCTTCTCATGGCTCTTAGAGTCAATGCAAGCCCCTCATCTTGACTTGAGAGACCCTCAGCAATACGACCCTGCACACCTCAGGCGGGAGAAGGGAAAAGTGTTAGTTGCTCAGTCGTGTCTGACTCTTTGCCACCCCATGAACTGTAGCCCTTTTCATACTGTTCATGGGGTATTCAGGGCAAGAATACTGAAGTGGTTTGCCATTCCCTTCTCCAGAGGATGAAGCACAAGCTGGAATCAAGATTGCAGGGAGAAATATCAATAACCTCAGATATGCAGATGACACCACCCTTATGGCAGAAAGGGAAGAAGAAGAACAAAAGCACCTCTTGATGAAAGTGAAAGAGGAGAGTGAAAAAGTTGCCTTAAAACTCAACATTCAGAAAACTAAGATCACAGCATCTGGTCCCACCACTTCATGGCAAATAGTTGGGGGAAACAATGGAAACAGTAAGAGACTTCATTTTGGGGGCTACAAAATCACAGCAGGTGGTGGCTGCAGCCATGAAATTAAAAGATGCTTGCTCCTTGGAAGAAAAGCTATGACCAACCTAGACAGTATATTAAAAAGCAGAGACATTACTTTGTCAACAAAAGCCCTAGTCAAAGTTATGGTTTTTCCAGTAGTCACGTATGGATGTGAGAGTTGGACCATAAAGAAAGCTGAGCACCGAAGAAATGATGATTTTGAACTGTGGTGTTGGAAAAGACTCTTGAGAGTCCCTTGGACAGCAAGGAGATCAAACCAGTCAGCCCTAAAGGAAAGCAGTCCTGAATATTCATTGGAAGGACTGATGCTGAAGCTGAAACTCCAATACTTTGACCACCTGATGCGAAGAACTGACTCACTGGAAAAGACCCTGTTGCTGGGAAAGATTGAAGGCGGGAGGAGAAGGGGACAACAGAGGATGAGATGGTTGGATGGCATCACTGATTTGATGGACATGAGTTTGAGCAAGCTCCGGGAGTTGGTGATGGACAGGGAAGCCTGACATGCTGCAGTCCATGTCACAAAGAGGGGTCACAAAGAGTCGGACATGACTGAACGACTGAACTGAACTGGACTATAGCCCACCCAGCTCCTCTGTCCAGGCAAGGAATTTCAAAGAATGTCCAGGAATTTCCCAGGCAAGAATAGTGGAGTGGCTGCCATTTCCTTCTCCAGGGGATCTTTCCCACCCAGAGATGGAACCTGGTTCTCCTGCATTGCAAGTGGATTCTCTACAGATTAACCCACCAGGAAAGCCCTCAGGCATGAGAGCTGAGAGTAACACTCTGAAAGCGGGGCCACAGGCCCGCTCTGCCCTGATGTGCTTCATGACTTCAGAGGAGTTACCAGACCCCCAGCCTTCTCTGCCTCCTCTGTCGATGCAGGTTTGCCGTAAGGATTCGACTAGTTGACACGCGTAACACTCTAACATGGACCTGACTCCTGCTCGTCACCCTGGCCCAATGTCACTCACTCCCCAAAGCAGTCATCCCATCTCCCCCCTGACCCGGGTCTGCAGGACACTCTCCCTGACACCTGGCGTGACTTCCCATCACTCGGGAGCCAATGCTACAAGTGCAGAGACCCTCTCACCCCTTCACTGCCCTGCTTTATTTTCTTTATAGCCTGTATTCATTCACCAGGGCTGCTGTAACAAAGTATCACAAACTGCATGACCTAACAGAAATGCATTGGCTCACAGTTCTGGAGACTGCAAGTCTAAGATCAAGGTTCAGAAGTGTGGGTTCCTTCTGAGGGCTTTGAGTAAAAATCTGCTGCTGGGCAGATCTCTTCTAGGTTCTGGTGGCTGGCTGGCAGCCCTTGGTGTCCTCTGGATGGTAGATGCATCACACGATGTCTGCCTACATCTTCACGTTCCAAGCTCCCTGTGTGTGTGGCTCTGTGTCTAAATTTCCTCTTTTTATATGAACACCAGTCATGCTGGATTAGGATCCCATCCTACTCCAGTATGGCTTCATCTTAGTTACCGCTGTAGCAACTCAGGTTCCAAATGAGATCACTTTCTCAGGCACTGAGGGTAAAGGCTTCAACATATAAATTTGGAGGGGGAGACACTGTTCAATCCATAACATACCTTCATCCCTCTCTAGAATGATCTGGTTTTATTTTTCTATCTGCGTACTGAGTTATCTTGTCTCTCCTCACTGAATGTCATTGTTTATATGGCCTGATTTTTCTGCAATGGCCATGCTATATATACCTTTGGCACACAAAAAAAATAATGAAAGATAAGCTTTTCAGAAAAAAACAAAAATAAGCTTTCTCCCTTGCATTGTGATTTGGGTGACTATCATCTCCAATTCTAGACTGAAAACTCCACGAGAGCAGGGACAGTATCTTTGCACCCCTGAGCTTCACACCATGCTTGCTCTTAACGGATGCTCAGTACATATAGGCTGGGTTGGATTGAATAGATAGATATGTGCACTGATTTCCCCACAGGAGCTCAAGAGCTCAAGTAGAGCACTTGTTCTTGCAGCCTTCCAGATATACATTTTCTCACAAATCTGGAAATCTTAAAAAAAAAATAATGCCAGCACTCTTAAGCTTTTGAATGACACTGGTATATACAGCGGCATGATTCAACTGTACTGATATCTTAGATGTTGTCAAGAATTAACACGCAGCATGAAGCAATGCTGTCAAATCTAGGAGGAAATTAAACCAGTGGGTCTATCACCCAATCCCTGTGAACCAAACTGCCACATTTCACCTAATTCTTCTAATTAGGTTGTGTCTGCAATGTCTTTAGAACCAGACAAGTGTTACATCAAGTGCTAAGTAGTATTAATTAATAATATTGGTAGATTACACAAGCTGGTACTTGGCTGTAAATGTAAATGTTCTAAGCCTATCAGCATAGTACCTGGAATCAATGTTCTAGCTGCACTTTAAAAATTCTTCATAGAATTTTATAAAGCCTCTGACTTCCAAGGTTTCCCTGGTAACTCAGATGGTAAAGAATCAGCCTGCAAGGCAGGAGACCCGGGTTGAATCCCTGGGTCAGGAAGATCCCCTGGAGAAGGGAATGGCAACCCACTCCAGTATTCTTGCCTAAAGAATTCCATGGACAGAGGAGCCAGGCAGGCTACAGTCCATGGGTTCACAAAGAGTCGGACATGACTTAGTGACTGACGCTTTAACACTGACTTCCGAAGAAAGTAGCTTCATATAATCTTTCCATTTTCTGTAACAACTTGACAAAATTTTAGAAATCATCTATTACAATTCTCAAATCTATCAGACCAAGTATCTCCTTTTTATAATAAGTGTTTTGACATACCCTTCTTTAATGTCCTAAAACAAAATTCATGAGTAACCTGCCTGTATATAACATATCTCAGTATGTAAACACTCAGGCAACTACAAATATTGTCATAAGGTGCTTGCACTTTATGAAAAATTAATGTCAACGTGCCAGTTTCAAATGGCACCTTTACAGGCTGTTATAGATATGCTGAATGGGTGATGCAGTACCTTTCAGCACTGAAAGGGGGTCCTGATTTTCCAAAATGGTGATGAACTCCTTTCAAGTTACAAAGTAAAGAATTTACAATCTTCCTTCAATTTATTCTATAATTGTCTTCCTGGAAAAGCCAAGAGACTGGTCTTCTAAAAACATCCAAAATAGTCTCATGTGCTTATATATAAAACAGGGATAGGTTTCCAGGTTCAGATCATCATAACCAGATTCTTCACCTACAAGAATATCCAGTGAGACATCTGAAGATAGTATGATGCCACCCAACACATTTAGCATCTCTGGGCCCCACCCACCAAATGCCATGGGCACTGCCCCCACCCCAACCTCTGAGAGCAAAAAATCCTCAAAACTTTCCATTTCCTTAGAGAACAAACCTCCAAGACAATCCCATGGGGTGGCTCTTCCCCTCTTGAGATCTAACATTACATCTTTATATTAAAAAATGAGAATTTGTGTCCCCAAAGAATATGCTCAAGAATCACACACCAAGCCTTAACAGAGCCAGGTAAGAAGCACTTGGGGGTTAACAGAAGAGCATCTTCCACCTGCCAGGCATTGTCGTAAGGTCTTTCTGTGTATGTGTATCCAACTCTTTGCAACCCCATGGACTGTAGCCTGCCAGGCATCTCTGTTCACAGAATTCTCCAGGCAAGAATAAGTGGGTTGCCATTTCCTTCTCCAGGGGATCTTTCTGACCTAGGGATCAAACCTGGGTCTCCTATACTACAGGCAGATTCTTTACTATCTGAGCTACCAGGGAAGCTCCTAAGATCTTCTTAGACAAACACTTATTTAATTCTCACATCAACACAAGGCAGGAGGCTTGACCATCACCCCTGGGCAGTTGAAACAAGTACAGAGACATGATGTAACTTCCCGCAGGTCCACTGGCAGAGCCCTAACTCAGACCACCCTCTTCAGAATGAATGCAACATAGAGCAAACTACAGACTGTCATTTAGGACTGGAAGGAATGCAAAGCAGGAAAAGCAGCCCTCCCGTTATGAACACACAGGACAGATCAGTTCCACCAGTTCAGTGCACTGACCTCTACCTATGTCTCCAAGTCATGGTTTGTTTCCCCCCTGGTCTCACCTTCCTCCTTCTTGTGTGTTTCCTGCAGACATTCATGCCCAGGAGAAGGCTGCTGCTGCAGTGAATGGGAGATCCCCATTCACTAGATGAGTTCCAGAAGCATCCACTGAGGCTTCTGCAGCCCACCTTTGTCAGCTGACCTTTGCCGCAACCTGTCTCTCAGGATGAGTGGCTTCCTCACCTCCCTTGACCCCCGGCGAGTGCAGTGGGGGGCCGCCTGGTACGCCATGCACTCTCGGATCCTGCGCACCAAACCGGTGGAGTCCATGCTGGAAGGAACAGGGGCCACCACCGCACATGGCACCAAGCTAGCCCAAGTGCTCACCACCGTGGACCTCATCTCGCTCGGCGTCGGCAGCTGCGTGGGCACGGGGATGTACGTGGTGTCTGGGCTGGTGGCCAAGGAAATGGCAGGACCCGGCGTCATCGTGTCCTTCATCATTGCAGCCGTCGCATCCATCCTGTCAGGTAAGCATCTCCATGAAGGCGAAGGCCGCGCTCACCGGCCTGTTACTGTTCCTCCCAGTCTTCTGCGGTATTCGGTAGTGAGAGGAGTGAAATGGGAGACCTTTTTGCCTTGACTAATAGGGAGTTCAGTGCTAGGTTTGGCTCATTGGAGCAGCTTCATTTTCCTTTGGTTTCTCCATCCAAATAATTACTCTGGTGCCTAGCCACTGCCCAACATCTCATTCCCTGTCATGTCCCAGTGGCTCTAGTTTTATTCTAAGTCTCCTTTCATGGGAAGGTAGGTCAGTTCCCTTTGTGTGTGTGGTGGGGGGAGGGGGGGTGCGTGGGATATAGCCAAGATATAAATAATAAATAATGGATAGGCAGAGCAGCAAAATGGCACGTCAGTAAACCTGATATGATTGGGACTTGATGAGCCTCAAACTGGCATTGTGATCTCCAAGCAGGAGGAAATCAAACTAGGAAATATAAAGCCATTGTGAGAACCACAAAGCACCACCTGCCACAAGCACTTCAACAGACTGATATTCTGCCGTGGTGGCTCAGCAAGCACCTTCTCTCTCCTTAAGAAAAAAAATCATAAAGCTCATTTGTTTGTGTTTTTAAATAGGGCACCAGGACGTACATACTGATAGTTTATGAAATAGTGCTATTTCCTATTCCTCTTTCCTCCTCTTGAGTTGGGATCCACAGTATTTTCCCTGCATGCCAGGGATGGCTCAATCTTGATGGTCATACTGCAAAAGCTCGAGGTGGATTTGAGGTTGGCACATCATGTGGGTCAATTCATGTCTTGGCAATGAATGTTGTGGCATTCATCGAAGAAATGTTTCTGGGGCAGTAAACGTGCTGACTAATACTGGGAGTTCTGTGTACTAATGCTTACGACCACAAGGAGGGTTCCACACTAGTATCACACATCCAGGCTAAATAGTCTTCATCTTTATGGGATGCGCGGGCTTCCCGGGTGGCATTACCTACCAGTGCAGGAGAAGCAAGAGATGTGGGTTGGGAAGGTTCCCTTGGAGTAGGAAATGGTAACCCACTCCAGTAATCTTGCCTGGAAAATTCCATGGACAGAGGAGCCTGATGGGCTACAGTCCATGGGGTCACAAACAGTCAGACACAACTAAGCATACATCCCACACATATGGGGGGCACAGACCAGGGACACGCAACCACAAAGTACACTGGTTTACATTTTTCATCTTTTTAATGTGATGAGAAAAATAATTCCAGACTGATTTGAAATATTTATCTCCTGCCATGGCTTATATCCTTGTTGGTTTTACCATTATCTTTTCCTTAAATCATTCTCTAATATGCATGAATATCCTAATAATTGAGATTCCTGCAGAAAAGAAGATTTTTTTCCTTATAGATGAAAATAAATTTTATTCACATGAATGAATTCTGTGGATGCTTGAAATTCTACTAACCTGATTGCAATCATTTTCAAACTAGTTTGGCAAAGAAATTATTTGGGGGAAGATGCCAGATTCTTACTCACCATAAATTTATAAATCTGAAAATGTCAGCATACAGAACAGAATAGCAATGGTAAGACAAAAGGCGGGCATGTAACCACACGTCCGACAGAGGGCATAGGGCAGATGGCTAAGGTCCTGCCTGGTTAATGCAGACCACTCTGCTCTCCGCTCAGTCGCTCAGTTGTGTCCAACTCTTTGTGGCCCTATGGACTGTAACCCTCTAGCTCCCCTGTCCATGGATATTTTCAGGCAGGAATGCTGGAGTGAGTTGCTATTTCCTTCTCCAAGGGATCTTCCCAACCTAGGGATCAAACCCACATCTCCTGCTTTGGCAGGAAGATTCTTTACCTGCTAAGCCATCAGGGAAGCCCCACAGTCTCCTCTATGTCCCATTCTATTGTGCCCCAGTCCCCCAAACCCACAATAGTTCCCATAAGTGAATCCCCACAGCTTATCCTTCATGGCTCTGGATTACATTCAGAAATTAGAACCAGGCCCAGTCACATTCTGGGAGCCTCTCCCCCTCTCACCATGCTCACGTGTAACCTAGACCAGGGTTCTGGATGGAGTGTTGACACCACAGATATTGGCAAACACTACAAATCAGCGTTTGTTTGTTGTTGAGAGTGGGTAGTTATACGTTAACCAGCACATCTCTGGCCTAGCTTCTCTGAAGGCCAAGTACTATCCAGTAACTCCATCAGGCACCAAAAGGAAGTCCTGCTTCTCCCCCATTAGGGACACTCCTCTCTGCACCTGGTCTCAGCCATAATACTGCTCTACCCTTCGTAACAGATACCTCCTTGCTTAGGCCAACCAGAACCTTCCCTGAGCTCCCAGCCAGGGCCAGGACCAAAATAACTGTGCCAAAGTTGGCAATTTTACATTAGGTTTCTTCATCCAGGCATCTCACTCTATGATCCTTGGTCACTAGACCAAGCAAAGTCCCCCTCCACCATGTTCCTTCCACTCCCACATTGTGACCTCAGTAGTGCTTCTCACAGGACCCAATTCCCTACCACTTCTCCATATCACAGTAATCAAACTCCTGCCTACCCTCAGGCTTTTTAATACATGGTCCTTTTCTACTGTGGCCTTAAGCAGAATGGTTTTAATTTGCATTATGAATATTTGAACATCTTTTTGTATTTATTTGCCATGCATATATACTCTTTGGTAAAGTATTTGTTCAGATCTTTTCCCATTATTTAATTGGAGTCTTCAGGAGTTTTTTTAATAAACTTTCAAAACTCCTTTATATATTTTGTATGCAAGTCCTTTATTAGATATGTGGTTTTATAAACATTTTCTCTCAGCTTGTGACTCATTTTTAAATTTTCTTTTTTATTTTGTTTTCTTTTTTAAAATACTGATGCCCAGGCTCTACCCCTCCCCACAGTCTCCTCTATGTCCCATTCTATTGTGCCCCAGTCCCCCAAACCCACAATAGTTCCCATAAGTGAATCCCCACAGCTTATCCTTCATGGCTCTGGATTACATTCAGAAATTAGAACCAGGCCCAGTCACATTCTGGGAGCCTCTCCCCCTCTCACCATGCTCACGTGTAACCTAGACCAGGGTTCTGGATGGAGTGTTGACACCACAGATATTGGCAAACACTACAAATCAGCGTTTGTTTGTTGTTGAGAGTGGGTAGTTATACGTTAACCAGCACATCTCTGGCCTAGCTTCTCTGAAGGCCAAGTACTATCCAGTAACTCCATCAGGCACCAAAAGGAAGTCCTGCTTCTCCCCCATTAGGGACACTCCTCTCTGCACCTGGTCTCAGCCATAATACTGCTCTACCCTTCGTAACAGATACCTCCTTGCTTAGGCCAACCAGAACCTTCCCTGAGTTCCCAGCCAGGGCCAGGACCAAAATAACTGTGCCAAAGTTGGCAATTTTACATTAGGTTTCTTCATCCAGGCATCTCACTCTATGATCCTTGGTCACTAGACCAAGCAAAGTCCCCCTCCACCATGTTCCTTCCACTCCCACATTGTGACCTCAGTAGTGCTTCTCACAGGACCCAATTCCCTACCACTTCTCCATATCACAGTAATCAAACTCCTGCCTACCCTCAGGCTTTTTAATACATGGTCCTTTTCTACTGTGGCCTTAAGCAGAATGGTTTTAATTTGCATTTCCCTAATTATGAATATTTGAACATCTTTTTGTATTTATTTGCCATGCATATATACTCTTTGGTAAAGTATTTGTTCAGATCTTTTCCCATTATTTAATTGGAGTCTTCAGGAGTTTTTTTAATAAACTTTCAAAACTCCTTTATATATTTTGTATGCAAGTCCTTTATTAGATATGTGGTTTTATAAACATTTTCTCTCAGCTTGTGACTCATTTTTAAATTTTCTTTTGATTTTGTTTTCTTTTTTAAAATACTATGCCCAGGCTCTACCCCCTAGAGATTCTAATCCAATTCAGTTGGATCGGGGTACAGCCCAGGGATTGATAGCTTTTTTTTTTTTAATTCCCTGGGGAATTCTATTGTGCAGCCCAGGTTAAGAATTACTCCATTTAGGAACCAGGACCTCCCTATGGAATAGCCATGACCTACAAGAAGAGGAAACATATGCTAACATGGAAATTATTTGGCCAGCAGATTCTTAAGGGATTTTTGCCCTTGTGACATCATCCTCCATGCCATGCAAACCAGTTTACTATACAGAACAAATGCAACTAAGAGATGGAGCCACTTTCTCCATAATTAGACAAGATTTAAAGCTACAATAACTTTCCAGGTTCCTCCTACCGTTCCTGCCCCAACTTCACAACTGCCCACAGCCTATCACAGGTAGGGAAAAATTTATCAGAGGAAGCAGCTTGTGCCGTAACCATTACCCTTTATCCAAAAGGTCTTATCTATTCTCGAATAGCTCAGCAGCACACATCCAGACCCCATGCCCGTGCCAAACCTTAGAAACTCTTTGTGTATACCAGATTGTATAAACCAGATAGGGGAAGTAGTTTTCTCTCTGGTTGCCACTGACAGCTTTATGAAGAGATGAGGGATGAAAGCAGGATAGTTTTCAGAGTTTCTCTAGTTCAGCTGGCTTGGGATGAAACACAAAGCAAGGTCTCCATGCCAGCGACACCTGGCCATTCAATGCAACCTGCCCCAAGAGGCTTCTGTGGACGTGAGTGGGGAAATCAAAGTTGTTTATTTCCAGCCCTTTTAATATTAATAAAATTGAACCTCAAACAGAGTATAGGTCTGAATGACTCCTAAGATCATGCGCTATCTACAATAACTCTTTGAGCCCACATCTCAGGGGGTTTTGTAAGGATTAAATGACAGTAAGCATTCACAACATCAGTCCCCTGGCTGATACACAATACTCATAATTTTTATCTGCTCATGAAAAACAGTAGCAAAAATCTAATAAGATATAGTTTGGGAAAGCTGTATTGGGTACCCACTATATGCCAGTCTTAGGGCAATACCAGAAATAAATAAGGAATTGTCTCTACCCTAAAGGACCAATCACTTACTGGGTTCATCTCCATTGTTGGAGATGAACACTAAACCTGATAAGCAATTTCAGCAATAATAGTACTGATAATA